AGGGCTTTAGGGCTTTAGGATTTAAGACTTGAGTATCTCTTTCAGAATTCGGCTATCCTTTTCCTTTCATTCAGCATGACCTCTGATACGGACCTGCAGAAGGGTACCCGTTGAAAGGGACAAACATACAAACCCAAAACCCTTACACCCTCAAAACACAAAACCCTGAATCCTACACCCTAAACCCCTAAGGCCTAAACCCCTAAAGCCTAAACCCCTAAACCCCTAAACCCTAAACCCCTAAACCCTAAGCCCCTAAACCCCAAACCCTAAACCCCTAAACGGCTAAATCCTAGACCCTAAGGTAGAGCATCCTAAAGGAACAGTTGCATGAAGCCCAGAGAACCCACAAGCCTGCTACAAGTGCTAAGCCCAGACTCGCCGGTTTCCTGAACCCTAAACCCTAAGGGTTCCTTTAAGGGTTCCTTTCAGGGTTCCTTTAAGGGTTCCTTTAAGGGCTTTGGGTTTAGGGTTTAGGGTTTAGGGTTTAGGGTTTAGGGTTTAGGATCTATAAGGGTTCCTTCAAGGGTTCCTTTAAAGGGGTCCTTTAAGGGTTCTAAAAAGAACCCTTAAAAGGGCACATGGAGCCCTTGAAGGAAAGATGATTATCAAAGCAGGCCTAAACCCTAAACCCTAAACCCCAGCAGAAGAAGCCTTCCAGGAGCCCATTCCGCAATTGAACTCTGACTAGGTTTAGGGTGGAGGGCATCCTTATAAAGGCTGAACCCCCAAACCCTCAATCTTACGCCCTAGGCCATAGAAGCTCTAAGCCCTAAGTCGGTCGTCCGACACCCCATACCCCAAATACTACACCCTTGACTGTTCCTTTAGGCACCTTGAGAGGCTCCTTAAAGAAGGGACCCAGCTACCTGTATTTTAGGGTTTAGGGTTTAGGGTTTAAGGTTTAGGGTTTAGGGTTTAGGGTAATATACTAGAAAATAGGGATTCTCTGATAGCAGTTGCTACTATGGCTTGGTTAAGTACCCCACATCGGCGCATAACAGTACCTAGGACCCTTAGGAGAATCGTACCCCGTGAACCCGAAATCCTAACCCTCGACCCGAAATCGTTTCTTTGAGAGCTCTCTTCTTCAATAACCGAGCCCAGAAAAAGCTCAAAAAATACTTAAGATAGACCACATATACGAGGCCAAAACGTTTGAAGTTTCCCACTGGCTACCTGAGATTGTTTAACCCTAAACCCCTAAACCCTAAACCCTTAAACCCTAAACCCTACGGTGAACCTTAAACTCTTAGGCCCTAAACCCTAAACATTAAACCCTTAATCCATAACATTAAACCCTAAACCCTAAACGCGACCCTAAACCCTAGACCCTAAACCCTAAACCCTAGACCCTAAACCCTAAACCCTCCACCCTAAACCCTAGACC